ACTAAGTAGGTCAACAGCCAAAACCACTTACACAACCTCCGGAGGCAATCCCTTCTCCCGAGCAGCATTTCTGCTCCTTTGGTATGCCTCCAGACGTAGAGGAGTTTAATCTGTTTTCAGATTAACAAGGGTGAGCCACTTCCACTCAGATGAGCCGTACAGATCTACCTCTACCGAGCAGTCACATTTTCTTCTCTTCTGCCCCGTGGGTGCTCTGCCGGATGGTGTTTGAACCAAAAATCCTCCCTCTGTATCCGTGGCTGTTCTGTCACGTACAGCAGGAGGCTTCGCTTGGCACGCACGTATAGAGAGATCACAGCATCGCTCACTCCTAGTTAAAACCACAAAACTAACTGTCAGTTTGAAGAACAGCGTTTATTTTTGCTGACCGGGGAACGGGTAAAGCGAAGCAAACTGCTGGTCTGCCTTGAAGGCAGCTCCTGGGAGCGACCCAAAGTCCAGCTGGGAAAACAGGCTCCACCAGCTCTCGAGCACCGGGCAGAGAGCAGAGCCTTCCTCGCCTCGGTCACCCTCTGCCAAAGCTGTGACACCGCTGCATTTTTAATTTGAGGAGCAACCCCCTGGGGTTAGAATCTCGTGGCGGTTGCTATTGCTGTGGCAGGATGGGGAAACTGAGAGTTCCAGCAATTAGAAGGAAGTTAATAAGATGGCAAGCTAGTAAATAAAGCGCTACAGGCATTTCTTGAGTTATAGCTGCACATTATTGGGCTCCCAGTGGGCACGGCCAAAATAAAAGTAATGAGTAAAAAAAACCTGGTAAGCTGTTGTGGTCCATTATAGCCGCCCTTAGACCCACCAGCTACCGAATGGTTAGAACAGATATTCTAAGTGGAATTTCCCCAAAATAAATCAAGGTGCTCCTCAGCGAGGACAAGTTTTGCAAATGCCGACTTAGGTTTTATCTGGAACCGTGACCCAGCAGCTCTCCTCCTCTCCTTCCCCGAGCTTAGCTGCGCTGATCGGGGCTGGGGCGTGCTGCGGCCGCCCGGGGAGCGGAACCCGAGCCCGGCTCCGACGGGAGAAACAGCACCGGGGGGGGAAAGAGGGACCACCCGCTTTAATCGTTCCTGTTGTGACGTGAAAGTACAAATGAGAGACTCACAAAGCCAGGTTAGAAGCCATCTGTTGACTCATGAACATATTTTTCTCCTTACCGGAGAATCACTTTTCTCTTTTTTTTTTTTTTTTTTTTTTCCAATCTTAAGCGTCTTTAGCTAATTTATACATTGGGAATTGGCTTTGATCTTGCACAGATTACCTGTACGTACTTTCTCTCTCTCCTGGCAGTCAGCCTGGGTGATTTTTCTCCCGCCAAACAAGGCGAAAGAATTTCTAAACTGTCATTTCAGAGTAATTTCTAGCCAAAACTAATTACCGATTTCTCCCTGAGCTTACTTGTTCATGAGTGGTTTACAGATTCTCTGCACATAATTACATATTATATACTATACTATACAGTGTATCTTAAAAAATAAATTAGCTTTTAATTACATAAAGCTGCAAGCAGATAAACCTGGCAACAAATGAACTCTTACGGACTTTATCCACCACAACTCAGAGGAGGGGGAAAAAAAAACCTAATACAACACTTTGTGGTGCAAGACAAATGGATTAAATGTGAAGATCACAAAATAAAACAATTTACCCTCCCTCATCAGGGCTGAATTGCACAAAGAACAAATAGTGGTCTCGCAAAAAAAAAAAAAAAAAAAAAAAAAGGTCTAATCAAAGCTTCCTGCCCTGTAACACCGAGTTCGAGGCACCAAATGATTTTGACAGACTATCCACAAAGGGAATTTTCGCAGGCAGTGACTGCCACTTCCACACTCCTCCTTCCAGAGCCTTTTTTCCCCCCACCCTGGGACTACCTGTCAAGGTTTTTGCTTTGCAGAAGCCAACACCAAACCATAGCACGGAGTTTAAGCCGCAGTTACTGTTTAGAAAATCGTAATGTGACTTTGTTTCTGATCAGAAATGTATGCTCATAAGCGCATACACACAAGCACAACGCAACGGCTAAATTCAACTCAAATTTCAATGATAAAATCCAACTATAACGGTTTAGCAATTTGCAGAATAGCACTTGCAGCCTCACTCGTCCAGAAAAGATTGAGGATGGCTCTCTTCCCTTGCTGGAGGAAATACTTAGAAGCAAAATTAACCATTGCTGTGTTGAATTAAATTGCGTTTGAGGTTTAATCAAGAGCTACTTCCAATTAGACCTGACACATTAAAATCTTCAAGTTGGCCATTGCCAGCAGAACCCAGGCAGTCGAGGGACGCGCTCTGGTAGACAAGGCCAGATGTCATGGGAGGGAAGATGAACTGTTAGCGTTGACAGTCGCCTGCACTAGCTGGAATTACAGTGTCGACACCCGAGCAGAGACACGATGGAGGTGGATTTTGGTGGTCTCCTGCTGAGAGAACTCATTCCTCCGGGAGTCAGAGCAAACTCTCGTTGACCTCGCGGAGGTGAGGACACCACAGCAGGTCTATTCGCAAACCCCCCTGTTTGGGAGGAGGAGGAGACAAGAGACAGACGACGCCTTTCGCAAAACCGTAAAGGGAATTTCTCAATAGCCACCAACCAACCCAAACTTCCTTCTCTTCCTGCAACTCATAAAGTGAAACTTTTTTTTTTTTTTTTTTTAAAAAAAAAAGTAACATTTTTCCTTCGGCAAAAAAAATAATCTCCCTCATCTTACAAGTAGTGTGGTTGCAGTGTAAATCGAGGATCAGCTCACAATCATCACACATTTAATCAGAAACAGAGTCGTAAGAGGAGCTACCGTGCCAGAGCACTGCCTGCCTTTCACCGCCAGCTTCCCAGTGACCTTGCCAACAAAGGTACTGCAGCGCAACTGAAGGATGAATTTCCAGAATGAGAAACTGCAAGAAGATTCTCTTGAGCTGTTTGTTTCTTATCAGAGCTCCTACGTCCGTTTGCAGACACTCATTTGCCGCGTGGACATAGTATTATAATGCGCAAATATAAGTAATTCCTGTAGAGATAGAAAAGCTTCCTGGCCTCTAAAAAAAAAAAAAAAAGCTTGCATTTATAATGTGAAAGGCATAGTGAGTTTAGAGACCCAGCGCAAATCAGATGCCTCTCTCCTCCACGTCAATAAAAATACGTTTTTTCTGTCATACACGAAATATATTAACCGTAAAATCATATTCTTCCTTAATGGCTAAGCGTTATAAATTGGCTTTCAGAACAATTTAATACTCCCTGAAGACAGAAGATGTACAGAAAGCATCTCTCTGAAGAGGAAAATGAGAAAAAAAAATTATTTTTTTTTTCTAAATCCCATCATACTTTCTGTCAAGAAAGGATACTAGACAACTTCTGTTCATCAAGAAAACACATTTAGACAGATTTCTCCCAATATTAAATAGCTCATCTCCCGTAGACTGAGCAGAGCTGTTCATTAAGTTGAACATTTGATGGGATTCTTCAACATGCTCTTCCGCTTCCCGGGGCAAGGGGAAGGCTTGCCCAAACGCACCGGGAGGCTCCGCGAGCGCCCGCCACGACCTGTGACAACTCAGCCCCTTCTCGGCTAAGTGACAATTCGGCTCGAAAAGCAAAACCAACGGGAGATTTTGGAAGACCTGACCACTTGTATATATTTAGCTGTGCTTATATTTCTCTAAATTTTTATTTGTTATAAGCTGCAGCACTTAGAAATCAGACCGTTCAGGGAGCTGAAGGGGGAACAGGGAAAAAAAGCTGAATTGGAAAAAGACAAAATTCGATCAACACTAGGTTTCTATAAAAATTAAGGGAGGGGAAAAAAAAAACAAATCCCACCTCTAAAAATTTACTTCCAAAAGTATGTAAATTTGGATAAAACTCTGTGCACGCAGTTGCAGTTAAAGATTCTTAGGAAAATGTCCCTTTAGGCAAAAGCTTGAAGTTAAATAAAATGGGCTTTTTATTTAACTTGAAACCCCATCAGCCAGTGTTAACACTGCTACTGGGAGAGAGAAGGAAATCTTTTGACTGCTGAAAACAATATATACAACAGACCTAGAGTTTTTTTTCTTTTTTTTTTTTAAGGACTCTAACTTGTTACACAATCTTTACATAGCAATCAGAATCATTATTTAACCGGAGATAAACATGCACATCAGTACTTTCACATCAAATACACGCGCAAACACAAGTCCACTGTTGTGACTGGAAAAAATTAATCTTTAAAATCTATTAAAAATAACTCAGTGGACTTGGTGAAACACTCCCCCAAGCTATTCCACGGTCTCAAAGTCACCACACAGACTTCAGGCTTCACTCAAAAATATTGATTAAAAGTTACCAGACTTTAAAAAAAAAAAAAAAAAAAAAAAAACAACAAACCAAAAACAAAACAACAAACCAAAACCTCCAAAAAACCCCCAACCACAAAACTCCCTTCAGTTTTTATATTGTTGCAAAACATTTTGAAAGATGTTCTATAAAATCCTGATTGTGCCAGAAGTGTCTGTGGATAAAACTAAAAGAAAACTACATCCTTCGGGCAGTATTTGGTATTGGTAGCATCTTCTCTTTATCGGCATTAAAACGTCAATTTTTAAATGCCGACAGCGTAGTTATGAAAATTTATGAAGCAAACATTGATGTTTTTATCATTTTAAAGCCTTAGAAATAAAGTTTTCCCTGAAGAAAAAAAATTATTTAAATTATTCCAGGTGATAAGACACACCAGAGGGCATTCTGTTATGCGCCACAGTGCAAACTCATCGCTCCACGTCGACGATCTTCCAGCTGTTCACAACATAAATTGCAGAGGGTAATGGCGTTTGGGATGCAGTAACCCTTTCGCCTAGGAAAGTCTGTTTTAGAAGCCAAATCCGGAACGGGTAAACCCCCAGCATTTTCAAACCACTTCCTCAGGCCCCCCGCTGCTAATCACGGCCACTAATTAACCCTGAGACGCCGGCGCACCTCGCGCCTGGAGAGGGCACCGGGGACTCACCCGTCCAATCTCACGTCGGGCAAACTGCGGTTCAGGGCAATCAGGTCGCTGGCCATAAGGTTAAACTGGTTGATCTTGAACAGCTCTTTCATCTTCTCCTGGTCATCCTTCGGAATGAGCACAGCCTTTCCCATCTCTCCAGGTCCCTCCTGGTTTCGGGAAATTACGGCTGGAACACAAAAATGCAAAAGGGAAATTTTAGCGCGTGGGCGGCAGTTTTATTCTTCACCGACGGGGCTCTGCAATTTTTTGGTGTTCAACAAGGAACGTTAAAAAAAAAAAAAATAATAACAACACATCCCAATCTTTTCTGTGCTCCGTTGTGAAGTTTTCTGTCCCTCTGGATCTGAATTTATATCTAGTTCCTTTCCCAGATGATTAAAACCCCCAGATTTGGTCACTTGTAGCTTCTGGTTGCAATCACAGTGACAGTAAATGCCTGTTCTCAAGATTTACACCAGGCTTAGAGAGCAGAGCACCAGATTCTCCAGACAGAAAAGGTTTGGAAAAGACTTTTATAGCTATTGAAAAATGTTTGAAGAACATGTATGTTAGAATAATTCTAACCAACTTCTTTTATTTTTTATTAGTTTTAATCACCAGGCATGTGATAGCGTAATCCCATCCCTGTAAATAAATCAATCAATCCTCAGTGACCAAAAAAAGAAAAAAAAAAAAAAAAATGCATCCTGAAAAATATAGTATTCCAACCTGTATCTTTTCCATATTATGAGAGACTACCTTTGAGAAAGATTTGTACAGTCAATTCTGAATTTCATTGAAAATTATAGTATCATCTCAAGCAAGCACACAAAAATAAACCAGATACAGACTGCCCTTTCAGGAAACGGTATATGAAAAGAAAGGAAACGTCCCACTTACACCGATAATTCTGATCATCATTCTAAAGGAAAAGCTTTAGACGAAGGGTGGTAGAATCACCAGCAGCTTCCTTCTCCAACCTCAACCTGCAGCTGAGACCACTCTCCCTCCCAGCTGCTTATTACCCAGATGCTGCGTCAACCAACAGAACAAGAAACACCCGAATTTTTAAGGGATCCTACATTCACACTTTAAAGCAGCCTCTTGACTGAGGCTGATTCATTAATACGGATTAATTTCTCTTCGGTGATGACTGGTACTTGCTCCTCCCATGAGGAAGCAGAAGTGTGAGAGGCAGCTGGGACCGCCCGGCCCAGGCACCAACCGGCGCTGACGGTGACCTGCCAGCTTCTGGAAAACGTCTGTGCCATATTCCAACCTTACCATCTCATCTTCACGGAGGGATCCTGGCTTTATTTTTCTACCATCACATTCATTTTTCATCTTTAGTATCAAAAATGACTTCGAAAAATTTGATACTTCATCTCCTGAAAGACTGTCACTTATGAAAGCTTCTCTACTAGCTGAAGAGTAATTAAATCATTTATTTTTGCAACCCAAAGAATAAAATGCTCGAAGATTAAACCTTCTTCTACAAAATGCACAGAAGTAGACTAAGTGACTTGTTCAGGAAAAAATCTATGATTTTTCCAAGCAAATCAGACATCAGGGCTTGCTAGAACAACTCAGCACAAATTTGCATAAAAAGGCTTTTTAAAATTAAGCATTACAGGCTCTGGGCACAGACATTTTGCTTCTGCGGTTCTAGTTTATGCTTCAGTTGAGCAAGAACATTTCACAGTATTATTTGATCTATTTCCTTCTCCTTCCCTTCGATCAGCAGTAGCACCTTGGTAGCAGCTACGCCTCACCCACAGAATCGCGTGGAAACCTGCATCGCACAATTATACGTTATAGACGCTATTAAATTCCTCTCGGACCATCTCCCGAGGTTATTTTTATGTAACGCGTAATACGAGCTTGAAATAGTTGGGATTAATGGATGGTAATTAAGCTCTGTCACATCATCACTTTCTGGAGAAACGCTGAGACTCCTCAGAGACGGCAATTTGATGCGCCAGTCCCTCAAGCGGCAACTGCTGTTTACAGAAATAAATTCTGCCTCCTTTTGGCTGGAAGAGGCAGAGGGCACAAATTTATCGAAACAGCAGCGGGGAGCAGGCGAAAAGGGTCAGCCCGGCTGGTGCAACCGTGGGCAAACAGAAAGGAGCTTGGCCAGTGGGTTTCTCCCCCTGAAACACAACATAAATGGAAAGGAATTCCTCAAAAAAGGCACGGGCGTCCCCGAGGAGAAAAAGGAGCGCTGAGAAGTCTGTCCTCGGGGCATCCTGCAGTCTGGTCATCTTTTGGAAGAGGAATTCTTAGTTGTTCTGCCTCCAAAGCTGTATTTCGGGGCCGGTACTAGTTCCAAGGACTTTACAAACCCCACCCAGATGACCAGGACCACCCTCTCCATCGCCCAGCCCGGGCAGGGAGCCGTCCGGGTCACGTCCGCACCGACCCGCGGCAGCCCCGGCACGGGCAGGGGTGGGGGGGCAGAAGAAAGGGGGTTCCCTCGCTCCAGGGGGGGAGAGGAGAGGGGGTTCCCTCCAGGAATCTCATGCCAGAACCTGCCACGCAGCACGAGAGCTGGAGGAGCACCACGAGGCAGAGCACGAGGAGGCACCCAAACGAAACGGCGCTGAAATAGCAAGGCAGCATAGCCAAACGGGTTTCTTTTCTGCTGAAGTATTTCGGGGTTGGCTAAAAATATCTTCCTGGCAATCTGCTCCTGTAGAAATCGGAAACTTTCCATTAAAACAAATTATTCAAGGAGGGAAAAAAAAAAAAAAAAAAAAGTAAAACATTTAGCAACCCGTTATTACCACAGTCATTATCGTGACAGTAAATCTGCTGCCTCTCCTTGTAGTAAGCCAAATATCAAAATTGTAACTCCCTAAAACGTGTGGAACACCAACAGTGAAGGGTTTCATAGTCTAAGCCCAAATAACAGGAAGACAGCTGTAGAGGATGTTATGCTCCAATGTAAGCTCACTGTAAATTCATTAGGAATCCCAGCTCATTTGCAGTGTACCATCACAGGGACTCGGATTAAACTCAGCCTGAAAACTTCTGTTTATTCTGCTTGAAAGCACGAGTTATATGTTCCTTCATCTGCAAAACTCATTGTCACTCCAAGATTCGGTGTTCTTCTATTGTTTACTAAGGACCATCAAGATAGAACTTCAAAGAGATTTTCCCGTCCTGAAGCTTATTATAAAACTAATAAGAAATTTCCTAAACAGCCTTTCCACTCTCAGAGTTTTATTCAAACCAAAGTATTATCAGATTACATTTCAATCATAGCTAACACATATCTGTGATGGAGAAACGTATTTAATTCCGCTGTGGTTAAAATGCAGCAACCTCAACTTATTAAATATTTAGAGAAGATGCACAGAGTTTATGAATTAACAACCACATATACACTAACAGAGTATTTGCAGAGGTGTAACTTGAATCCATACCCAGGACCATCTCTTCTTGCATTTTCTCTCCCGTATTTGAATAAACAAGTTTTGAGCCCAGAGACTCTGTAAGAACCAGTCCTCAACCATCTCAAACCCGGCCGACGTGGAGCACACAACAATCCAACCATACTCAAGTTAGGAAAAATGACAGTTTCCATTTTCCAGACGAAAGGTAAAATATTAAAATAAGAACCAAGTAAACATCACGGCACCAGAGATGGCAGGAACAGTTGGCAAATTAAGATCTTCTGCAAATATTCAATTTGACCAAACTTTTCATAGAAAATTGAGGTTTTGCCAGCGCTGAATAGATGTGAGAATCTAAAAATGGTGTCAAAAGTTTTTTAACACCAGGCACGTCACCAAAGTTGGCTTTCAGATTGCACAAAGCCACTACAAATATTTCTACTGAATGATCTGTTCTTTATCCAAAGCAAACAAAACAACACTATTGATTAATAATATTGATATTGCCATTTCACCACAGTTTTACATTCTGCTTTACCCTCTTCCTAGGAAGTACAGCATACTTCATTAGTACAGCACACTTCAAATCAAACTGCTCGGATTATTTTATGAAATACCAAATCTGTGTTCAAGTTTCCATACCAAAATCTTTATGTAAAACACACATAGGCTCAGAAGACATAAACATAACACTGAATCACTTCATCTAGAGGATAAAAAAAAAAAAAAAAAAAAAAATCTGTTTAAGTATTCAGAATGGATGAATGGTAAAAGAGGCAACAATCAGTGCATGCACGCTGCTGATTATGAATTACTCCACCTGTACTGGTGTTTATAAGCTAAAATGAGCGTAGCAAGCCACTTCCTTACAGTGCATCTTCCAAAATATCACTTAGAACTTACTGTCAGCACCGCTTTTGCTACCCAGCTTCTCTACTCCTTTTCAACGGCTTGGTGACCATCACTGACTTCAAATGACTCGGCGGTGAGTAACAACTCCAGCCCCCTGCAGCAGGAACGGAAAGATGGGTCTTCACAAGCAGGGGCTGCCCAGAGGTTGTAAAAAAATCACACGGATCCTCCAACTGGGAAAGGTCTGAGATTTCCCAGCCCCTGTTGCCTCCGAGTTCTTCCGTGGAGCCGACTGACCCCGCAGAAAGCCGCACGTCCCCATCGGGCACAGCCCGTCCCAGCCCAAACCCACGGGTGACACAGTTTCAAAGCCCTGGAACTCACCTCCGGGCTCGTGGTTGAAATAACCTGGAGTCGTAATGGGGACCCGGGCGGGGGGAACTCAGGGGTTGCCACGATCCTTGAAGCCAGGGTGGAAGCAGCCGAGGGACTTATTTAATTTTTCTATATAAAAACCACCCAGCTATCAATAAGCTTACCAGCATGTCTGACCCATAAATACTCTGACAGTGCTGGTAAGTCAAAAGTTTTAGCGAATACTAAAAAAAAAAAAAACAGGAAACAAAGAACTTTAACTCATCCGGTATTTGCTTTTCCTTTGTGTGGAAACCCCCACCTCACTTTTTATCAGGCTCCCCCCTTGCTGCTACACTTGTACAATACTCCAGTGCCACGCTTCACTCTCCTTTGCTACTTCTGGCCTCGACGATGGGTCCCCAGGGGCTCGTGTTGGTCTTTCACAGCACTTCTCGGCAATTTGACTGAATTTTTATTTACTGTACAATACTTTCTGGGCTTCGGGGTCATAGGTGCCGGCACTTTTGTGTCAGGCCGTACTTCACGTTGCTTCTGAGCACTGGGACAGGCTGCGGTTTTG